TTGATACAGTCTGCTTCTGATTTTGTCTTGATTTATGCACATTTCTTCTAGTAAGATGCTATTATGTCAAAGCTTAGCAGAAACCACTGAATAAATGCCATTAACTTTCACTCTAAGCAAAATAACTTCAATAGCTTTGATAAATGTCCATCCAAATACGCTTCACTCTTGCTCCAGCAACTGTGCATCATCACCTGCCCTGGGAAAACCCAGCAGTATACAAAGATTATTTGCATTTGTACAGGGATATGTAGAAATGTTTGAAACCCATTTTAGGTGTCACCAAAGAAAGGCCTTGAAGATAAGCACCATATTTGTTTAAAAAATAATACTTCTACCCAAAGGTTACCACTGCGGTCATAGTAAAAGTCCCAATGCCTTAAAGGAAGCCAAGATTTCACTTGCCTGTAAGAGCTCTCCAGAATCTTGTAAACATGACTAGCAAGACACCTGAGCACAGGAATCGATTGGCAGAAGGATTTCTTCATTTAAAAATCTGGCTTTCTTTTGAATTCGAAATTAACACTGCAAGTGAAAAGTCTGAGGGAAAAAATTCAGCTGAAATCAATGCACATATTTTGTTCTGATAAGACATTTCATTTCAGGTCTAACTGCTATATGATCAATTTATATACTATACTATTAAATAAATAACTTAAAGTGCACAGAAAAAAAAAATAAAAACACAGGAAAGGACATTTAGTCCTTATCAGAATCCTTAAAGAGCTTCTTTAGTCAAACAATATTTAGTCAAATAATTATATGCCAAACACTGTTTGAGATGTGATTATATTTCTAGGTAGAAAATGGTTCCCTTAACTCTTTCCACCTGGTTCTAATTAGCATCAAAGCACAGTATGTATGTGAAAATGGTAGCTTTTCTGTGTCCTACATAGCATATAACATGGATGTTTGTACTTCTCTTGCTTTGGCTTTTTCCCTGTGACAAAAGAGGGAAGTGTCTTCCCAGTTCTAATAGGGCACTGATAATGAAATGAGATGTGGTACCTTTCCCCTAATCGGATCCTTCTTGCAGGTTAGTAGCCTGTAGAAGTACTGGGCAAAAAGATAAGATGAAAAAAAAGGTTACAGATTACAATACCTATGTTGATCTGCAACTTTCTTCCTTTTACTGCAAAGGGAAAGATGAATACCAGAACCCAGAGAAGGGCTGAGTATCATTCATAACAGGAACTGACCTTCTCATTCATCTGTAAAACTGGGCTAATGACTGCTGCCACATACCCCCATAATAAAATGCTTCAGCATCTCCTTATACATAATACAAGATCTGGGTAGTATAAAAACCTGATTAATTCCTCTCCTAACATAACAGACACTGTAGCAAACCAAGTGTTTCCATTTTTGTGAGATGAAGAATTTTACTAATTTAACAATTCTGCAAGAGCTCATCCATTCTCATGCTTTTTTTCAGGTACTATAGGCCAATCGAGATGTAAGATCCATTGTATTCACACCAAGTTTAAAATTGTAGGACTGTTGAAATGCTGTTTGGAAGGGCTCTCTTAAGATTATCTAGTCCAGCCTCCTGCTCAAAGCAAGACTATTGCTGACATTAAATCAGGTCAGTTGTAGTGTTGTCTAACTGAGCACTGGAAACCTCCAAGGATGGAGATGTCCCACTACATCCCTCAGGTTCCAGTGATAGAAGAAGAATATTTGACAGAAAAAATATCCACCATCAGTCCATTACCTAATAGCTCAGTGTCAGGTTATCTTCACTCAGAATGTAAACTAAGCTTATCTCTGCATCCCAAAGGGTGGATGGAGAATGGGGTGGTGCTTCAAAACAAAAATTTTTATTGCTTCTTGCTCCTTGGCAAATTAGTACAAAGCTCACACTTTGGATAATTTATATTCTGCTATAGCACAGTATTTTGTCTGTTAGATGTTCTATCTATTATCTGAACATAACTTTGGAGAGAATTTTCTGTGGCCTGACTTTCATGGAGGAAGAGAGGCTTTAGACATTTTACAGATGCTTCCAACACTTTTTGCATGGCAAAAATTACATTCTAAGAGATGGAGTCTCTGTTAGGAGCTAACATCGTATAAAAAACACTTTGAAGTACACCAAATAAGACCTATTATTTTGTATTTTTTTTTCAAGTAGATTATGATTACCATGAAATCACTGGTACATCATTACAAGGTTAGCAGAAATGTGATCCTCAAAGTACATTCGTGGCAGGAATACTTGGAAACCCCATGTGGCTTTGTGGCAGAAACACTGAATTGGGCAGACACAGGTTTTTATTCCCAGCTTTCTACTTACCCACAGTAGGCATATTATTTCATCTGTTCCCCATCTGCAAAACAGAGTAAATGTCAGTGACCTACTTTATAAAGTGCTTTGAGATCTATTAATGAAAAAAACTATATGAGAGACTTTGCTGATACTAAATAAAAGGTATGATCTCTGGGAATTACCCAGGGGAGCTCTGAGTCTTCATGCAAGAGGATTGCTCTGATTTAAATATATTCCTTTAGAAGCTGATTCAGTAAAATCATTGCAACTGTTGTAATACAGACAAGACCAAAGAAAAAGCCTGAAGGAATAAGTACAGGCGAAAGAGAATGTGTTTGTAGGTCAAGCAGTGCATAGCAAAATTGTCTGAAACAAGCACTTTAGTCACAAACAGTTCTTACTAGCTTTCACCTCCTCCCATTTTAACTTCAGATCACAAAAGAATAGAATAGAAAATTGTATAATTTACATTACATACAATACAAATTAATGTAATAGCAAACAAGATCCAGCCCCTTTACCTGAAGTTCAACCACGTTATTCTCTGCTGCAATATAAACCATACTTGCAACTTCCAGTAGATTGTGCAAGCATGGAGGACAATTAAAAAGAACTAAGGAACAACCTGCGCCAGATGTGGACTTCCTAGTATATTTTAAAGTAGAGATGATTTATTTTGGCGGCAGTCCAAAGCCAGGGTGGGAGGACTTAGCCTGAAGGATAGATGGTGTTGTCGCTGTCATCCTTCCTCATAGTTTTGACTGGAACAGCTTAAGAGCCTTTTCAGCAGAGCATGCTGAATCAACTCATTCTTGGCCAGCTCAGTTTCGTTTTTGCTGAGCCCAGTGAAGGCAAAGAGGAGGGCGTGACCACCACAGCCTCTTTATTCTGCAGACTTCCTAGACCTTTTGTCATGGTTTCTGCTACCTGGATCTAGTGAAAATTGAACTATGTCAATTTTCCTATGTGTCTTGTGACAGGAGTTGTACTTCTTGTGCATGTTCTTGAAGTGCAAAAAAGCTGTGTGATTCACTATGATGCTGCCACAAGCCCCCTTATCTGACTCATGTTATCAAACAATTATTAGCACTTAAAAATATTAACGTGGGCTTTTTTGACTAGAACAGGAAGGAGGAATAAGTGGTGTAGAATGTAGTGGCCTACATGGATTAATTCAATCTTGGATGACTTTCTATTAATTTGTGGGAGAAGTACATGTGTTTGCAGCATAGAGAGTTAAACATACTCTGCTTTAGATGAGTCTCTAGGGATTCCAGTGAGAGTATTTTGATGCTTGAATCCAAGAGAAACAGTATCTAGTCAATCTACTAATTTAACTGCAATCAAGGGCATTTAGACTAAGAAGCATGGAACAACACTAGATCTCTCTCTTCAAAACTTTTGTTGTTGAGCCAAAGAGGAAGCCCACCCTGTGACATGGAAGCCCTCTAAGTCCTTCATTTTTCCACAAGGAGATGTACCTGTGCCTAGTGACCAGAGCAAATGGTCTCATCCGATTTCTCTTCCAGCTTAGGCCACAAGTTTTTGTAATGATAAGTTGGTTCACCTGTCTGTGCTTTAAGAAGTGCTGTTATACAAATAAAATCTGGATATTCAGAGAATTACAGTGTTAAAGGTGTGAGGCAACATTAACACTTCACCTTGCAATAAATGTTTTGCCTAAGATCTTCACATCAGTATTAATACAATATGCCACACACCTTTCATTAGACACATGGGAGGATGACACACAATATTTTGATTTATCTTTCCCTCATTTAGATAAAAATATCTTTCATTTTTAAGAAATTTTTCTAAACTTGAACTTCTCATAGGTACAAGGTCCAGAACCCTTAAAGCCAGTCTCTGGGCAAGAGAGGACTTTAGGCAGATATTACCTTCACTAGGCCCAGGAACCTTAGCAGGAATGGTAACAGCATCCTTCCCCCATCACTGGAGTTGAACTGTCTGGACTGTGCTCTACAAGAACTTAGACTGGTGTTCAACAAAAGCTTAGATGAGATTGCAAAGGAGAAGTGGACAGATTTTGTCTCTTCTCTGTGTTTTTTGAGCCTCCATATATCCTCTTCTAGACCAATGAATGCCAAAATACTCAGAAAATCATATGGTAAGCTTGGGCTTACTAGCAATATTTTCATTCACACTTTCCCATCTTCTGAGTCAAGACTCAAATGCAAGACATCAGTGGAATTCAGACCTACGACCTTCTGAAAATTCACAATTAATCCGCTTCGAAAGCACCATACACTTCAATCTCAGGGCAGCTTCTGTTGTCTTTGGTGTGGTGCAATAACTCAAATAAGATGCTTGGAATCCCTTTCCATGTACCAACACTGTTTACTGCGTATTTCTATAACATGCATCTGACATCAAATCTCCCTTCAGTTATGGTTTTAAACAAACCAATTGACAGGCTTATAAAGCTAGTCTAAGTCTCAGATGAGAATCTTTATTCCAGAGAGTAGCTATTTATCTCATGCTTTGTTGGGGGCAGGGGAAATAGGAACATTTTCTTTTTATAGTTACAACTTTGGCTTTCATGACATCATCAAAATGCATTGGAATTCAGCTTCTCTTCTTTCAGTACTTTAAAAAGAGACAGAAGGAGGAAGGAGACAGGAGTTTGTTACATACCTCTAATATTCTGCCAATAGTAATAGTTTTAAAACGAAAAATAAGAATCAAGGATAATTTTAAGGGAAAAAATTACTCACAGAGAATTTTGCATTTATTGTCTGATTAACACACATGTTTACATGAGTTAGAGAAATAGTCCTGTTTTATTTTAGACATAAGTTTCTTTATACTACCCATATTAGAGGAAATTCTGTATTTTAAAAAAATAGGATTTTTGTCTTTCCGCAGGCATTTCTAATTGGCCACATTCTTCTTTCATTTTCTCAAGTAATACTTTTTTGATGTTCTTCAGCTTCCTTCAAACATTGGGTAATCTAGAATGATGAAAAAATGAGCTGTGATGTTCTTTGATATCTCGACTCTCACATAGTAGTGTATATACTACCCCAAATCCTTCAAAATCTGAAAGAGAATGCATAATGCTCTATAGAAGTATGTATCTGACCATTGCGTTGAGACTGAAGAGTCCCAAAAATGAAGTTGAGTTCTAAAAATTGGGGCGGGGGGTGGGAGGAATTTTTTGAAATGTGGAAAAGAGTAGGGACTCTGCTAGTCAGGGAGAGAAGAGAGCTGTGTACTGATTAATGATGCAGTGAATGGCATTCTATTAAAATCTAATTAGTAGGCTAAAATAACAAAGAATTAACCTGGACTATGAGCCTGTTTTAACATATGAAGAGAAAAATACCTTTTCTTAGGGTTTAATGAGTTTAATGTCCACCTGTAGCTTAACTGACATGGGGAGCTAGGCTTTCCTCATACCTAAAACAAAATGTTGCTGCAACTATGTGTAAGTTTTTCCACCAAACCATACCCAAATAAATCTGAGTTCTCTGCAAAAAAGAATGTCACATTATACTGTCACAATTCATAGTGAACACGGGGCATTAGAATACACAAAGGAATTTGGGAATAACTCAGAATGTTTTGTGTTTAGAAACTTAAAAAAAATAGGTGTTATTTTCTTCAATTAGCTTCGTCAACATGCATTTAATTTTTACATTTGGTATCTCTCCATGCTTAAAATATACATGGGTATGACCCAGAGGGTGAAAGAAGTTATTAGAAGGGGACCTGCAGTAGTTCTTACTGTAGATTGAAAGGTATGTTACTGCCCTGAGAAGGATGCATTGTTCTGGTTAAACACAGCAAACAAATAGTTGTAATCTCAAGACTTCTGTGACTGATATGTAAATGTGTTAAGGCACATTCTTATCTTGGATAGAAATTGAAAGGAAGATTGTTCTTTTCAACATAAAGCAGACGATTCATGCAGCTTAATGATTAAGATGTTAAATACTACCTAATGAAGTTAATATAAATAAAATGATGGTAACATTTGTAAATAAAATCACCCCCAAATCTTGTGTTTAGAAGACAGGAAATTAAGAGCAGCAGCTCAGTAGTGTTCATTTGTTAATGAAATTCAAGAGAAAATAATGACATATATTTTTGAACCGATCTGATTTTCACTGTTAGTATTGTGCACGATAAACTTGATTAAGGCACTGTCCTTGAAAAGCAGTTACGCAGCTCACTGGAAGTGGTTTTTGTGTTTAATACCTTCAACAGTAAGTGGTCAGTTATGCTCTTGAGACTTGTGAGCCTTTGTTCAAAATCTGAAAAATTCTGACTTAAACCACAAAAAACAAGGAAGATAGGCAATCTGTCAAAATAAATTATGTATCCTACCTTGGCAAGCACTACATTACTGCCCTCCCCCATGTCCACACAAACTTAATCTGTCAAAGTCATTCTTTGCTTCTCAAGGCCTTTCATAGCATGAACACATAGGGCATGTGAAGTCAGATAAATTTTGAACCCTGACAATGTTTTTAAATTACATCAGCAGGATGAAATTAAATCATCAAAATTAAAATTGCAAAATATAAACCCAATCTATTAAAGAAGCAACATATATGTTATACATATTTTTAGATTACATGCAAATTAACTTTGCATATGTCAAAGATGATCAACTAATACAACATCTATTTTCTGTGATGTCAGTATCTAAGAGAAGAAAGGTAAGTATGCAGGAAGCAGAGGATTTATCTACTATTGATTTACTGATAGGTGAGATTTGTTAATCTCTACAAACATCATAACAATGTAAATGAATCAGGCGTAGCGAAGGAAGCTGTGCTATAGAGCAGCAAGAGCCCTATGAATGATAAATAAATGCCAGAAACAGCAACCAAATTCAAGAAGCAGGTTTATCATGTGGAATAGATAGAATGTTTTTTGAAATACCTTTTCATCAGTAAATCAGATCTCAGGAAAGGTAAGAAATTTGTTTTGCAAATATATATTTTACTTCATTGTATTTCTTTTGGAGCCAGCTGCTCATGCAATATAAAAGTAAGATGTTTGGTTTTAATATCAACCAAATACTAAGACTGAAAAGTTGCTTTCCTCAGAATTCTCCAGTGCAATCTTTTGTTTCCCAGAAACTGACTGGGAAACATTTTTGTGACACCTGGGTTCTTATTTACTTGTGTATGCACAGAAGAGAAGGTGTTGAAGCAACACAATGTTGAAAATATTTTGTCTGATCATAGGCAAATGCTTATTACTTGTGCCCAGATCATCTGGCTTTGGAGGATGTTTAGTTTAGATGATATCTTGGGACACAGGGATTAAGTTGCTTTGAAAACACCGTTCTCAGGGACTGTGACTGGCACCCAAGAAGTAAAGTAGTGTTGCACCTATTATAACAGCTGGAGGGAATAACTTAAATTTACAAGATTAGGGGAAAAAAATATGCAGCCTTTTCTAAAAAGGTGGGTATGTTAAAGATCTGACTGTTTGGATATAAAAGATCCCATAACTATCATTAAGATAGTCTGTGGACTCCCTGACATCATTATAGCAAAAAGCTATTTGATTCGTTTCTGCCATGGTGCTAGAAAATTGACAGGCCGGGCATAAAGGGATCACATGATGAACTAGGCACTAATGTAGCTGATGAGTCTTCTTATTCTCTCCAACAGCTATGAGGGTCTTGACAGGTCTGACGGACGTATTTAGGAAGAGGAACAGCACTGCCACCATTGCTAGCCATCGTGAGTGAAAGGATACAGACAGTATTACTAGAGGGGCAGGGTGGGAGAAACAGAAATAAAAAGGAGGGAGAGAACGTGTCAGGCTGGATGCCATTAGCACACCCAGAAATTATTATGCAGATATGCACTGGCTCTGGAGGAAGCAAGTACGGTACTCTGTGAAGGGTGTTCCTCCCAGTTCCTTGCCTGTCTGGCGATTATTCAGGGAGGCAGTTTTCCAGTGTTAGCTGTCAAATTGCATCACTCTTGTCTGCTCTTCTTCTACAGGATCCTCATAAGGCTTGTGTGGTATGTGCTGGATATACTGATCATGTGAGACTGTTGGTTTGTAGCCCACAGCCATGCTGAGACACACTAACAAAACTTGGCCTTGTTTTTATGTTTGCTGATAGTTGAATGTTTATGCTGTTGTCATGTTACTGTCCTCTACTAACTGCAGTTTATTGTTGGTACTGTATGATTCTGCTGTTGGCAGAAGAAGGATGACAGAGCAGCAGGCATAGAAAAAGAATAACCATGGAGTCCTCTTCAGTGGGAGTGAGGAAGTGGTCCTTCTTCCATCCTTACCCTTCATGGTCCCTTTCAGTAAGTTGCTATATTGTCCTCAGAGACAAAAATACGAGTGAAACTCTTGCATCTGTTCCCTTGTAATTTGGAAATCTATAGCTTCCAGTAGAGAAAAGCTTCCACAGTTTACTAACAGATTTCCTCATGCCCCATGACTTTGTCTCACAGAACAGAAGGAATAATAAGCGCCTAGGCTGGAAGAGGTGTAACAGCCAGTGGTAGCGGTAGGGTAAAAGAAAACTAAGCTATAGCTGGTCTCCTGAGTCTGAAATGGTACAGTTGCTTTCCCCTGGTGAGGGAACAGATAATGGTGATTACAATAGATGTAACCGCTGATGTGGGTGAGAGCTATGTTGTCAATTTAGCAGTCTGGAAGAATATAAGAAAAACAGCTGACAGCTACAATCATTTTGGTAGCTCTTCACAAGTGATGTATGAGAAGAGGTTTAAAAGGTCTTGTTCGCTTCATTACTATATTTGCTTTGAGCAAGGGTTCACCTGGAAACTCAGTAATATTAAATCCCTCAGCCTTGCGTCAGGCCTGAGGTAGGTAAATGAATTTGTTACCCAGTTACAGTTGGGAAAAATTGAGGTATGAAATAATGGTGACTTATTCAAGGGCAGAAAAATCCTAAGAATATCCAAATTAAACATCAAAGTATCGCTATTTTAAAGACTACCTGAGGTCATAAATTTAACTGATTTTAGTAGTTAATCCAAGATGTACAAACTAGTGACAAGAAAAAAACAAATCAAGGCAGCAGACTGCAATCTAGCTTGCTGATTGCTATGTCCTTTGTTTGTCTTTCATACTTAATTTGAAAACTCCTTGGGAACAGATCACCTTTTTGCTTTGGATCATATGGTGGCTAGACCGAAAGGTTCCCCGTTCATGAGCAGATGCTATAGGAAGAAAACTGATAACTGTGATGAATGTGACTAGACAGTGCAGGGCTGTTAGAAGAAAGATCAGTATTGTTAGTTCTTACAAAAATAAATTAAAAAAAAAAAAAAGTAACAGAGAGCTGTTATTACGTGCTTTGGCAGAAAAAGGAGTTTTAAGAACAGCCCTGCTCTTATATAATGTGTCTGACACCTACGTCAAAATATAATCTTAAGTTTTGTGGATCCAAAATACATTTTTAACAAAAGTTTAGTTCTGTGTGAACTGAAATGTGAGGGAAGAAATCTTTAAAAACATTTTCCATGGAAATGAATGATGAAATGAATAGGTAAGCCACAAAGAAAAATACTTAAATAACAGTGAGACTAGACAATCCCAGTGTCTGAGCTAAACCCACAGAATTCCCTGTAAGAGATTATGGTTTTACCTGGCTTTTGCTCTCCTGAAAATGATATGACATCCTAATTTTCTGAGGTGGAATTTCTTGTAAGAGGCACACCTGTTATGCTATGAAGTAAGAACTGAACATCAGCAAGATGGCAAAGCATTTCTACAGTCAACAGAAACAGTAGCAGATTTTCAGCAGTACCTAGGAAACAAGAATTAAAAAGACTTCAGACTCTGTCCTCGTTTAGTTACTGGACTTCTCCATTACACAGAGGAGTAAACAGAAAAGGATTATGGCTAAGGAGCAGGTTTGTTTTCCCTTTCTCACAATGGAAAGAATGAAAGGAAGATCAAGGTGAGGATAAGTCTTTCTACATAGAACAGGACAGGGAGAATCTAGTTTGTATACACTATTAAAGCTCTTTTTGCATGTTTAGTCAAGACCAGAAGCTACGGACTGTGTTATCGCTCATATTTATTCTGTTCGCGGATGATGATGTCTAGGTTATGTACTCAGGGGCACGGCAGATTCCTATCTCTAACATGTTGAAAATTGTTGGTTATTCATGACACTGTCACAGGTTTTGTGCAACAAGGAAACTCCTTGGCTTGCAAAAACTTAGTGTGTTCCCAAACAGAAGTTTCTTTGTGTACAACAGTTGATGTTCCAAATGTTGCACGATGCTAATTTGAGGCCAAAGGCTTCTGTTTCATAACAAACCCTGGGTGCTGCTCCTTATGACTTAGGGGAAACAAGCCCACTGAAAACTGCTAAAAGTCTCATGTTTCCCTCCAGAGCTGTATTTTAGACAGACTGAGAAACAATTTGTGCAAGAGGTAACTGAGTGTCTTTCTGAGACCTTCAGTAAGTTTTATGCTTTTTACAATCAGGTCAACTTACCATGATTAAGTGCAAAAAGATTTTTAAGAGCAGATCACAAGAAAACACAGATGTCAGTCAGCATGTTGAATTCCTGATTTCAGAATTTAGCACTTCTAGGAGAGCCTCTATACTGTGCATAAGTCTGTGTTGCATATAGGCATTGAATTACCTAGCACTCTGGGGTGAGGAGTGGTGGGTGTTTTCTTGTTTGCCACTGTGCTGCCCTGGTCAAGGCAGAGTGGAGAAACGCCCGTTTGAAACAATAAGGTGAACATAATGATCATAGTTAAAATGTAATTTATTAGAGTTGGATTTCAGCCAATAATCAGGGGATAAACAGCCCTTATAAGGCATGCCGTGTATTCTTTAATGAGTAAATAGTGAGGTTTTCCCACTTTCCATCTTATCCAAAAGTAACTCAAAACCTTGATAGTGCTTGCCTTACTCAAAAGGCGAAGTTATATCTTTACAGTGATGGTGACAACACCTGTCCACACTTAATTATTTCTTACACTGGTGCCTCCCACTGTCCCTGGATTTTGCCCTGTTCTTAGCTGCTTTCCAGAAAGCATTTCACCTCAGTACACATACATATTCCTCATTACCACATTGCCACTTTGACATTTTGCCTTGAATTTCCCAAGTTTCCTTCTCCTTTAAGCCTTGTTGGAGCCTTGGCACTCTGGGAGAGGTGTCCCGCAGGACTCTGTCAGACTGAAAGGATGTGTATGCACTCTTATCTCCTAGATTTACTTTTATTAGAGATTTGTTTTTTCTTCCCTGTATTCTCTTCTAACCAATTGCTATTCAAAGCTGTATTCCCACTCCATGTGACAAGTATTTAGCAAATTCTTAAAGTTGTTTTCTTCTTCTGTTTAGAATATTTTAAAAGCATAGGGTTGGGTTGGAGTTTGTTTGTTTGTTTGTTTTGTTGATTTGTTTTTTGTTTGTTTTCTGTGAATGAGTTTTTATGTCAGAGAGGAATATATGAAAAGATACAAAAGTACACTGCTTGGATTATTTTTCTACTGAAGATTAGAGAATACTGTGTATGTGCAGGTTACACTGCCAACAACTGGTAATAATTTGAGTTCATTTCAACCATCTGCTTCAGAATTTGCATGAAACTAATCTCATGCTGCTTCTACACATACTTTGCTCTGTTCTTCCCTGCATTTAGTAACATCTCACTTTGACCATAATGTTTGGTTTAGGAATCTTTGAGAAAGCTGTCCCTAATTTATAGTAGAGGCTTTAAATAAGTGTCAAACACTATCTTTGTGAAATTCAGAATTAATTTCTCCTTAAATGTACAACTCCCTGAGTTGTATAAGAGAATATTTAGATGACACGCTTATCACAAAGGTACCCTACTTACCAGGCGACAATGAACGCAACTGACTTTCTCACAGCATCCTTCACAGAAAAAATTTCATAAGGGTAGTTACAGCATGGTATCCTGACAGAGCCCCTAAGCCATTCACTTAGAGTGAACCTGAAGCCATGTGCACACTGATACTATTCTGCAATTATATGGAGTACAGTCTCTTCAGGTTTTTGCTCTTGCAAGTTTAGAGGGAAAGACTTCTTCTAATCTGCTCGTCATATCCTTCTGCAAAGACTCTAAATTTAGGTCAGCATCTGATCATGTATGTAAGGCAAGAAAGAATCTGCCTCTGTTAGGAGAAACTTCTCACTCAACTAGTGCTTCAGATCAAAGCAGTGATCCCAGCAAAGTGACCATACTAACAATCCTTAACAAGATGATTAGTTAATGTTTCACTTGGGGGAATACACAGCAAATTCTGATGAATAAGCTCAAGACATTCAGCCAAATAAAAGTGCTTTGAATTGTGTGACTTCTAATGTATCCAAACTCACACCATCCTGACACCAACCTGGTATGCATAGCAACATTTAGTTTTCCTTTCCTTCTCTCAGACTGCCAGCATTCAAACAGGTGGGCTTGCTTAACGGCAGCAAAACAGCACCTTTCTGCACAGCAACGCACACCCCTCTGTTCTTGCAAAATTTCAAGTCCCTTCCCCTCAGCTCGGAGGTTGAAAGCAAAACCATCCAATTGTGGTCGAGTGGAAATCTAGGCGAGGAGTAAATTTTACTTGGACCTCCCCAAGGTTCGGGTCATGTGATGAGTCTCCTGCCTTTCTTCTCTCTCCCAGTCTCTTGGGAAACAGCCGCAGCGGTGGGTATTATGTGGCAGGCTATCGTCTGAGCTCGATGCGCGGAGGGAAACGGGGGTGCTGCGAGAAGGCGTTAGCGTTTCGAAATAGTTACAGAGATGGGAAAGTATCTGCGGCCGGGTGAAGCGGCGCCGGCCAAGTGAGGGCGGCCCGGAGAAGGACGCGTGAGGGCTGCAGGCGAGGATGCGCATCGAGTTTCGCGCTAACCCCAGAGAGGCATGAGCAGGTAAGCTCGGGCGCAGCCGCGCGTTCCCGGCGGCTCGCGGCAGCGCTACGAGGCACCGCAGGCGTTTTACTTCCCCCTCGCCGAGGCCGGCTCCCGGGGATGGGGGTGGGGGGGGGGACACGTCGCCTGAGGAAGTTTCGGGGGTGCTGGGGAAAAGGGGGGGGGCACACAGACTGGGATACCGCGAGCTGCGGCGGGGGGCGGCGCCAGCCCTTGTTTCGGGAAGGGCTTCCCCGTGCCTCAGCTCCGCGCAGGGCAACTCCCCACGCCCCGGGGGCCGCCGGAGACCCGCCGCCGCTTTCCCACAGGTGGGAAGGGACGCGCGGAGGCGGGGGCGTCGCTCCGGGCCCGGGCGCTGCCCCTGAGGAGCGGGCGCGTCGCGCGGCGGCGGGCGGGGCTCCCTCCCACTGCCGACACCTGCGCGGGGGCGGGCGGGGAGGGGCGGGGCGCCTCGCGGCCCCGCCCCGCCCCGCCGCACCTACAGGCGGCCGCCCCGCCCCGCGCCGCCCGCCGCCACCAATCCGCACCCGCGTCCCGCCCCCCCCCCCTCCGCCCCCCCCCCACCCTGCGCCGTTTGCGCAAGCAGCGCTGTTTCCGCAGCGGGCGGGAGTGCTGGCTCCCCCCCCCGGACCTCGGGAGCCCGATGTGACCCGCCAGAGAAAATGGCGGCGGCGGCGGGGAATCGCACCTCGTCGTCGGGATTATCCTCGGGCAGCGGCGGGGAGGCGGCCGCCGCCGCCGCCTGCGGGAGCTTGAAGGGCGGCGCGGCCGCGGGGAGTGCCGCCGGGAGCGGCGGGGGGCTGCCGAGGGAGGCGGGCGGCGGCTGCCGGGAGCAGCGCTCTGACTGGAGGCGGAAGCAGCTGCGCAAAGTGCGGAGCGTGGAGCTGGACCGGCTGCCCGAGGCGCCCCTCTTCCTCGCCGCCGCCCCGGCCGCCGCCTCCTCCTCCTCCTCCTCCTCCTCGCCGGAGCCCCCCGAGGCACTGCTGCTCCACTACCTGCCCGGGCCGCCGCGCTCCAGCCCCGCCAGCCCGGCTGCCTCCCCCAGCCGCTGCGCCGAGCTGCTGGAGCCGCTGCCGGCGGGGAGCCCGACGGGGACCGACCCCGCCGCGGGGCGGAGGATGGAGCCGTCTCCCCCTGCGAGGTGAGGGGACGGCCGGGAGGCGGGGGGGGGGGGAAGCGTGGGCGGGCGGGCAGGGCTCGACCCCGGGCGGCGGACGGGTGACAGCGGCGGGGCTGCTCCGGCGGGGAGGGCTCCGGGTGCGCCGCGGCGCCCCGTTTCTCCCCCGGCCCCCACCCCACCCCCCCCGCCGCGGGCGCCCGGACGCCGCCTGGCCGCGGGCCGGCAGCGGATGCGGGGGCGGCGGGAGCTGCCCGCGGAGCGCAGGGCTGGGGCGCGGCGAGCAGCCCTCGCCCGACCGCCCCGCCGCCTTCCCCTGCGGCGTGGGGGCACCTGGTGCGTGGGCTGGGGAAGGGCGGCCGCCGGGACGCGCTGCTCCCCCACCTCACCCCCCCCCCCCCCCCCCCGGCCGGCCGCAGCTGTCAGCGGCGCGGGAGCCGGAGGAGCGGGTCGGGCTGCGCGGGAGCGGAGCGGCGGCGGGGGCGGGGGGGTGTTGGCGTGCGGGTTTGCGGGGGTGCTTTTGTGTTTGACTGGGGCCGGAGTGCTGAAAGGCTTTGAAGTGTGAGCTGGGGGTGTCGGCGGGGTCCGGCCGGTGGGGCGAGCGGAGCCCCGGGCCCCCCCGCGGTGCCGGGCAGGACGCGGGCTGCGCCGCGGGCCGGGCGCTCGCCCAGCACCTGAGCGCTTCCTGCGCGGTCCTGGCACTTTGCTGCACAAAATCGAGTCTTTTTTTTTTTTTTTTTTTTTTTTTTTTCCAAAAAGGACTTCTCTAAAGTCTGATGCCGATTTGCAGCATGGTGATATTGCAGAAGTGATTTACTTAATTCTTCGTAAGGAGGGGAAGGAAGGCTTTCAAACGTAATGCCCTCTATTTTTCCAAGAGAAAGTAATTTTGTGGTGCTTTAGTCTAGGTGATACGTTTCAGTGCTTTCATTTAGAGCCCCGGTGTTTTTAGCTCCTACTTTTCCTCCATACCTATTATTTGCTAAGTCTGTTTTCTTGAAGTCTTCTAGAACTGTCTGCATTCTGCCGATTTTACATGTGTAGAAGTATTCAGGATGAAAGCAAACTCGTGCCTGTGGTGAAGCAGTTTAAGTACTTGAGAGCACATTTCGGCTCTACCATGCATTTGCTAGGTCTCACTGGTTTCTGCGTGGGAAGGCACTGCAGTAGTGACGGTGTAATTTTGATGAAGTTGGCAGGGTCATATGGATTTCTTGTAAGGTTCTACATGATGTGGAATGTGTAGTTTAAGGATTTATTAACATCCAAGGACCTACTTTAGTGCTGCCTTACAGTTTGTCTGTCTAATTAAACCTCATAAGAAATCTAGGTCCAGTTTGGGCACATGACTTGTATTATTTTCCATTGTGTCTTGTGTCAGTTAAACCTCAAGGATACTTTTTTACAGGTTGACTTACCTTGGGACTACTATAGCAGTAACTGTTTGTTAGACCATGTCCTGCTTATATGTATTATCAGCAATTCAGATAGGTTTTGGTCTATTTCTAGGGAAGTGTAAAAATTCTTAATACGGTGTGGCTGTAACAGTTAAGAAATGCCGCTGTACTTACAGAAGGATTAGTGGGAAATTTTAGGTGTTGGGGAGGGTGGAAATAATGTATGAATTTTAGCGAGTAACTTGTCTTTTTATGACTCTTAGTACCATCTTTGTCTCTATCAATGAAATTATAATGCACTATCTCATAATATGATTATAATCAGTTTTATGGCTTTCAAGGAAAATGGAGAATCGCTGTCAGAACACATTTAAAACAACTGAGAGTCTCATAGTGACAGCAAGCTGGAGTTAGACTTGATATTAGGGGTTCCGGAAGGTCCGTATATTGATGCTGAAACACTGAGTCCATCCTTGCTAGTTAGTCCCACAGCAGCAATGACAGAGCAGCTGTGGAATTTTTTCCTTTCACTTGGACAATTTTGCTTACTTTTAAGTACCTGCATTTGGACAGGTCAGTGTTTTGAGTGTGTGTACAAGTTAAAACCCTTCTCCTAAATGCCTTTTGGCATTTGACTGGAAACATTAGTAAATCATAGAGAATACTAAATGCCAAGTGCCTTTCTCTTTAGAATTTTACTGAAATAGTCTATTTTGAAATTATAAGTACAGTTGAAAATACATGGCAGCGTTAATGGTGATCGTTCTTCAGAAGTAGCGTATTAATGCTCATGTAGAGTATCTCAGTAATTCTCTATGTTGTGTTACTGGTAAACAGACAAAGTACTAATTTTTCAGACCATATCAAGAATTTAAAACATCTCTTTGCCCTTACTAATAATACTAACTTACTTGTTCTAGCCGAAGGAGGGAGGTTAATTTGTGTGGAGATAACAGCGTATTACACATTAAATTTGTGCATGCAGCTGTTGCCCAGACATTTATTAAGAGATGAACTGAAGGACATAATCTAAATAATGTATTATGTGGAGGTTTTCTGTTCTGTTTTTAAATACAGTATTTGTACTTTCCTGCAAAGATCTACTGTTAGTTAGAAGATACTTTTCTTGCTCCGAAGTGCCCCTATCAGTCTCTTTGGTATTACAGTTACTTTCTTTTTAAATTTTCTGTTTATGCTGGAAGACCTGCATGCATTTCAGAATGAAGCTGAGAAGGGCAGTTGACTCTGCTGTTAAGTCCTAAATGTAAATATTACCTTTTTTCTTTAATCTCTCATGCGTTCTGCTTCTCATGGTGGTAGAGCAAATATTTTCACTAAAAGCTGTGAACATCGTAAGCTATCTTTTTATATTGCTGTAAGAGGAGGAGGGAGTTGTTTTGCTAGGAAATGCAGCTTCAACATAAAGCAGTTCAGACCTCTTATCCCATATCTGTACTGACAGTATATTGATTTGTTTTATATAAAAAGATTCAAACAGTGAGTCCAGTGATAACTGTAATATGATTTATTATAACTTGAGGGAAATCCGTGAAGGCAAAATGTAACTCCTTCTCTGTGACCTTAACAATGTTCTTTTAAAACATTCAGACCCTTTAAGTGATGTTTATTTGTGTCTGAAGTTGGTGTAGGTAACTTATTATATCCTCAAGTACAGGATTAGTTATACTACCATAACTATGTTTTTGTAAAAATGAAAAACAGGAAATGCTGCAATTCATGTCCTCTGCATACAGTAATCACATACTGTGTGACTTATGTGAAAATTGTGTCCGAATTTGAAAATGTATGCTAGATATGGCAGACTTATCAGACAGTTCAGCTGTAAGGCAAACTTCGTATATACTTACTTGTACTGTATTTTCTGCAGTTGTTGTTTGATGCCTGCTAGAGACACCAAAGACACACTGTGAAACTGAAGCTTTGACCGTATGTGCAGACATACTAGTAAAAAGCTTGTCAGCTTTAGGTCTGCTTATCAATTTGTAGCACCTTTGGTGACTTTCAAAGGACAACATGAATGCTTTAACAGAGCCCTAGACTGGACAATGGGGTGGGAGCAGAGGGAGAGCCTGTACAGGGAAAGAGTGTGTGGCCGAGGTTTGATTTGTCCTTTTTTTTTTTTTTTTTTAACTCAAACTACAGTAACTTTCTCTGTTCGTGTTGTCAAAATACAGCTAAGGCAAAAAATACAGCTGATTATTGATCTTGGCTATTCTTAGCTAGGGCAAAATACAATTTTATGTGTTTTAACCAAGCCCATAATACTGGATATTTTTAACTGGCTGCTTAAATAAGCTACCAGTTTTTCTGCTTACAGTTAGAGCTGGATACTACTGTGAGAGAAAATTCACTTCCTACCTCTTCTGTGCTCTGTGGCTTGAGAGTATTTTTGGAAGAGGATCACCCTCTACTGTGTCAGATTTTTATCACTCTTAGTTATTGCAAGTGGTAGGGTTCTGCTTAAATGGTCTGATCTGGTATGGCAGTTTCTTTGTTCCTATGCAAAGTTAAATAGATTGTAACTAACTAATCTGGAGCTTTTTGTCTCATTGGATTTAGTGATAATAAAGGTTTGGTCTCCACTGTCACTCAGTGGAGTCTGAGTACTGCTCAGTGCAATACCTGTGTGCTGTTGTGCCTTACCCAAAGGTCAACCGTGGAGAGTACAAGATTTGAAGATAAGTATTTTCCTTCTGTAGGATGGATTTGAACTTCATGAGATTTTATAGTGTGCTAATGCATTTATTGTTGTTTGGAGTAAAGGTAGCGGTGCAGCTGTGCAAAAGCTTATCCTGGTGCAGGGGAGGATGAGGTGGGATTGGAAATGAGTTGCTGGGTGTGGGGTGACTGTGGGAATGCTTCTGTTGGCTTTTGCTGGCTTCCAGTATTGGTGAAACTTGGCTTAAGCTTGTTTAAAATAAAAATTATACGTTGCCATGTAGCTGTTCTTTAAACAAACTTGTAAAGCTAGTTTTCAGCAGCAGTGATGATAAGAGAAGGGATCTGGTTTGAGTTGTGAGTTTCTAATGTTAATCTTGGTGTTCTCTGAGGATTCTCTGCATAGACCCAAGGGTCGTCTTACTTTACTTTTTATCAGCTCTGCTCTTACTCAAAACTCTAGAATTACAGTTCATTCTTTTGCTTGAGGCAAAGTGGACAGAAAGCCTTTAAGAGGGCTTGTCTCTAGGTGACTTAGGAGAATGTAGTTAAGTGCAAAGTTGCTTTCTATTGCTTCCCTCCCTTTTTATCTTTACCTAGAGGCTGTGTTGCCTGCAAGAGGCTTCTGACTTCCTGTCTCACCACACTGCAGAACTGGAGAATCCTGCTTGGTGGTGAATAGTCTTGATTATTTTTTTTCCTATAAGATATGTTTGAGGCATGGTTTTTTTTGTTGTTGTTGTTTCTTGGTTTGGGGGGATTTTTGGTTTGTTTGGGTTCTGGTTTTTTGTTGTGTGGAGTTTAGTGTGTGTGAATTTTTTTTTTTTTTTTTTTTTTTTTTTTTTTTTGAAAATCAGTTTTGGATCTTGGCTGAAAAATGTCCTGAAAAAACAGCAGCTCTATTTAGTTGATACTTAAGAGTCATTTGAAATAGGTAATTGTTTACCT